CTCAACCTCTCAGATGGACTACTTACATTAACATTCAGGACACAGTTTTAAAACCAAAATTATTCACAATTTTAGGACCTGAATTCGAGAGAACAGAACATCTGAAAATTATGGGAACTGGAAAAGTACAGTAATTCTATGGAATAAATTAATGTGTAGTTTGCAATGTTTACAACAAGGAGATTTAAGTCTTCAAGAACATTAACCTGCATTATTTGCACTGCAAAAAGCTAAAGGGAAATGGATTCTGGAAACATGGATTCTGTAAACTAATGGATGCTTTTTCTCATCTTAGTAACACTTTGGTCCAGAGAACAGATTAATATTCTATCTTACAAATAAAAGTGAGAGAATGCTCTTAAAGATAAAATTAATTACATTTATTAATTGACAAAATTCCTTTCTCAAGCCATCACATACCATGAACCCCTTCTCTGTATTGACAGTGGAACTTTGACACGTACAGCCTAAATATGAAATTGTCATTGACATATTATCAGACTATATGAGCCAACATCATGCACTGCTCTTCCTTGCCTTTTCATTCTCCGTGTCTCAGCCAGAGTGTAATTTATCTACTGATTTCTTTGTGGGAGTCCAGTATCTGAATCACAAAAATTCTGAGCCCCTTTTCAAGCTCTGCCCCTTACTTCCTCTCTGACTTCAGACACCTCACTTAATCTTTCTTTACTCCATTTCCCCCTGTAAAACTGGAAGCTGTAAACCATTTTCTTATTTTCCTTCTTTCCTCCCTTATATATTTGATACTGAAACATGGACTAACTTAAAACACTGTGTTGCAGACCAAAGATATGCTCATGTAGAAATACCTTAGCTAGCTTTATCACAGGTATGTCAGGTCTAATTGACATCCTAATTACAACTGCATGGAAACAAATCTCCAGGGAAGAACACGTGGGCCAAAATCTACACTGCTTGAGTTTCATCACTATAGGTACTCTAGCTAAATTAAACAAAAATAAACTGATTTGGCCAATACATGTATAAATAAATAGTAAGTATACAGAAATCATGGGGGGGAAAGGAATAAAATGAACTATTTCTAAGAAGGCCACAAGAAACATGAGAGAGACCTGACAGAAGCAGGTGAACATGAAACGGAACAATTAATAGCTCTGCTTAGATAACGTATGTGTAATTAATAACATAGGAATTAATATGAAAAGGCCGTATAGTCCATTCCTTAAGTAGTGGAAATACATCTCCAGATACCCCTACCTTCATTGGAAGAAACAAAAGTTCATGGAAAGAAAAAAAACAGTTATATGTTGATCAAAGACTGAAAAACCTAATAATATACATGGTTCAGAGGAAAGATAAATTATAAGAAAAAATAATTCTTCCATGCTCTTTCTCATAATGATAAAAAGGAACACTCATTATAAATGTTAAATAAGAGAAAAAAGCAAATAAAAATAAAATCATTTTGATAGCCTTCAAAGCAATTTCCTGTTGAAAGATATCCTTCAGGCCAGTAACTTGAAAAGGGTTAATGACTTGCGATAAATGTTTTGTTATTATTATCATTATTTAGAAAATTACAATTTAAACACATGCTGACTATTACCTGTTCAAGTTGGGAGGATATGTAATTCTGGACGTATCTGCCACGGGTTTTTTCCTTTAACTTTCCTCTGAGATACATGGTATTAGGCATTGTCAAAAACAGAAGGCTATGACTAAAGACCAGGAAACTCATTTACCATGGTAATGTCTTTATCCTTGATGTACAAATACGGATGTAATAAAAATGTTCTCAAGAAAATTATTGTACAATCTACATTAAGACAGTGCCATTCTAACAGCAAAATTAGAGAAGAAGGCTGCACATATGAGCAGAATTTCCTTGTAAGGAAAGCTCCAAGGGCAGGGGATAAATTAACTCAGAAGTTACTTCTGGTTCTGCAGATTTTACTAATTAACAAGATCTTTGCATACTGCATTTTCACAGTCAATCTGCTAACATTTCTTTTTTTCTTCCCTTTTTTTTTTTTTTTCTCCTACATCTGACACCACAGCTAATCATCAGAACAAGACTTCAATCTACATCTGACAGTCATGTAGGCTGGTAGGTAATGTACAGCATATTCTAAGAAAATCAGCTCCCTTACCCTTTTTTTTTTTAATTTCCAGGGTAATGTACAGCATATTCTAAGAAAATCAGCCCCCTTACCCTTTTTTTTTTTTTAATTTCCAGCATTTTATTCTCCCCTGAAAAGACAGAGGGGCCTCTTACCAGCAAACAGAAAGCTGAATTTCCTATTTACTCTGACTCTGAACTCAGCCTTCTCACATTTGCCTTAACTATAAAAATTACTTGCTTTCCTTAGTCATCTTAGCTTGCAGGAAAAAAAAAAAAAAGCATCAAATGTATCAGAGGGTTTAGCGTACTGTGCTGAAAATTATAATTTCAAACTTTTAAAATGAAAGGAAATCCAAGGCAATTAGTTATAACTGCATTGTTTCACACCAACTGAAATTAAATGGTAAATATTTGAAGTAATAGCAATTAATAACTGAGACAGCTTCCAAAGTGCTGTTTCCATGGAAAATCTGCATGAAAATTCAGTATAAATTCTGATTAGAACCTAACCAAGCTAAACACTGCAGATTACCTAGATTCCAATTAAATGTGACAAATGAACACTTGACAGATTTCAATTCCAATTCTATTTCTGTCAGAAGGAACCATTAATATTGAAGATTACATTATTAGGATTTGAACAATACAATTGTGCCTAAAATAGTTAAAATACGAGTGGACTTAAGCATCAGATCACAGAAAACTTTCACTCAGATGTCAGATATTACATATATGAAAGAACAAAAGTACATTCCATCCTGTTCTGTCATTATTTATAGATTAATGGTAACAAAAATTTCTGGAGGCAGACGACATGCCACCGTTGAAATCTTGTTTTTAAAATGTGACAGCAAAATCCAAAAGTCTGTGGAGTATAATTTTCATCATAATGTCACCCACCTTTCAAAGGTCTCAGTTCAAGGTTTGACAAAGGAGAAGGAATTCCTGATTACCATATGCAAGTCCTGCCATGTTTTTTCTTTTCATAATAATTTTGTTTTCATTCACTTATTCATAAAACGAGACATTTACCTAGCTCTGTTTCTGTCTATTCTGTCTATACAATACTATTTTAAAAACTGATTCCAACAAATTAATCCTGCCAAATATAAAATACAATGTTTCCAAAAAAATCAAAGCAGTTTCTAAAATACTTTAATTATTGAAATGCAATGCCAGTTTTTGCACCAACACAAAAACTGAAATAAAATTGTTTCCTTTCATTTTTGCCACTGCTCGCTCTCTCCTCACTTTCAATTACACTTCAGTAAGTGGGATGATTTTCATTGGCTACTAAATGTATGAAAAATCATATTCAACTGTATGCTAACATGTGTAGAGCCACTTTCTGAGCTCAGAATGTAATGTTTAGCAATCTACTGCACTGCTATGTGTCCGGGGGAATTAACAAATTACTTAGTTTCATTTTAAACACAAAATCTCACTACAAAACAGACAATAAAATAATCATCCCAAAGTCTAGAAACTTTTTTCTGACACTTTCTATTAATACTGGTATCACTTTCTCCCCTACCACCCACCCAGAAAAATGAAATGTAAAGAGATATATTCATATAAATAACCGAGGATAATAGATAAACACACACTTATACACATACATGACCTAATATATATTCTTTTTAGATGGATAATACCAACTTCCTCTTTGGTCAATTAATCATTTGCTGTTGGGATATACATTATAAGCATATGTAGGCTGCTGTAGCCATTCTTCAGTCAAGCATACTAGATTTGGCAATATCTCACCATGGAGAACAACACACTTTTAGTGGGTTGACATGTCTATCTCAGGAAAGACAAAAACCCAAGAATAATTATCCAGTGCTGTAATCTCTGAAAAACTGAAACATGCACTCAGCCAAACTAAGTTATTCATTCTATAACAGAGAATATACCACCCTTCTTGCATACACCCAGCAATTCCAATGGGATTAGCAAACCCTTTATTTCATTGGTTATCAAAAATCTGTACACTTTGACATAGAATAATTTATTTTATTGTTTATGGGCACATGAAAAGACGATGAAGTCAGTGTCTGACTTCATAAAATTTTAGATGGAGGCCAATATGTGGAGTACAGTAAAACATTCAGGTTTTATAAAATACATTTCAAATTGGAAAGGTTTTTTTTAAATACTAAATAATTTTAGATAAAAAAGGAAAATAAAACCTATGATTTAATTCACCTTTAATTTTTAATAGCTGGAGAATTACTATAGAATAAATAAGGATTCAGCATTTTCCCCTTCTATGTAAACAGACCCTGAATTTAAATGAGATGTTCTAAAAGTACTGTACAAAATAAAGTGTGAAGAAAAGGAAAACAATGTTCTTCCTTTCCAAATAATGAAGAATGGCTTTGACGCTCAGTGTTATTTTGAAAACAGTCTATATAACCTTTTTGGGCAAAGGGAATTCTCTAGAGTGGGGTTTTTTAATCCTCTCTTTTGCTGATGCTGTACATATTACATTCCGGGAAATTTCTTAAGTAGTTTTTGAACCAAAAATGGAAGGAAAAGAGAATAAATGTCCTTTATGGTCTTTTATCTAAAATGAAAAGAATGGAATTTAATTCAATTGCCATCTCCCCAGCCCTCTACTGGTATTTTTTTCAATGTTTTAACTGCTTCTGCAGTATAGTTTTTAAATCGTGTAAAGAGGAAAAGTGCTGGTTTTATTAGTAGTGTTATGTTCCATTATTTTGTATATCTGCATTTTAACAAACTTTAAAATAAAATAATTACCATTTTAACTATTTAATTTATTTATTTAATTTTTTTTTTTTTTTTTTTTTTTTTGGACTGACCTTTCAAAAGTCTACTTAGTATCACTTGCTAGTGAGATTATGTGTGTGAATGTCGTGTTTGCCCCTACCATTTTCCATATGCTCTGCCTCACCAACACTGCCATCCGGCGTAGTCCTTTCGTAGTTGTCCTCTGGGAGTGGAAGGGCACCCAGTCTTGGCCCTGATGAACTCTTACTGCTTGGTGTTTCTGACTCCTCCAGACCGCTGTCATAGCAACTCTGCAATGACCCTTGATGCGGGTCCTGAGGCTGACTCACAACAGAAAACGTCACTCTACGAAACGGCTGCAAGAGAAAAGATTCTGAATGTCACTGGAAAGTTCAGTCTTCGAACAACTGATTTGCAAAACGCGACTTAAGCAAACTAATATTTTCACATTTACCATTTAAACAGTTTTTGTCTAAATGAAAGCAAACGGCAAGTACAGTCCTTAAAGGGCCATTGGACAGAGTATCTCTAGATTTTGACTGGGACAGATGGTCCAGGACCTTCATGCAGTTTTGCATAGCCTCCTTCCAAATGGCTGCATGAACCGAGAAAGCTGGTTTATGATTATTTATAAATTCTGTACAGTTTTTCTTTCACTCAATAGTAATAATTTGAATGGAGTTTATATCAGACTGCATAAAGGTACTTGACAGTGTGTGTGTGTGTGAAGA